GACTAGAAGAAGTCTATACACTCTATTGTATAAAACGTAGACTACACATGAACAGAAAATAAAATACGAGTGAAACTAAAAACATTGTAAATATTTGATTGATTCTTAAATCTACGGTAAATTGAAATAAATGCCTCAGATAAAAACGTATTGAAAATTAGAATGTTTGAAAGTTTGATATTTTGATATTTTGTAGACTATTTGACAACCCAGCCCGATGTGAATATGACTTCATTAAGTAAACTTTATAAAACTGTGCGCCGCTGGACACTGGGCAAAAGGGAAGTAAATTTGTACTGGGTTTTCCTAACTGCGTTACAAGATAATCAGACACTTCCTGTTTTTACGTAAATCACGTCCAGCCCTCATCGCCTCTAGACCAGGGGCGCAACTACAGTGCCTCCAGACCCTGTAATGCGGGGGGGGCATGCCATTTTAAGGTCCCACAGCCGACCATAATAATTTTTTTATAGTAAAAAATTAATTTTCTTGCATTTTTATATGATCGTTGTTTTGTACAAAAAAAAAGATTACAACAACTGCGGTTGGATTATCTTTATTCTACAGACACCAACCCACGCTCTTGTATATCTTTTTTCCCTTTGTTTTTAAACCACTGTGAAAGCCGAGTCCTCTTTCTCCTTCAATCAAACTCATTAAAGAGAAGCAAACGTGACTTATTTCCCTTATAAAAAGTCATATAGGTGTGCTCATAAGCTCCTTTTAATAGATTTGTACTAAACAAATTAAAAAGCAATTAATTCTCTTAAATTATCTTTTTAAAAAAAACTTACTAAAGAATAACTCTGTACAAAAAGGAAATATATTTATATAAAATAATATAAATACAAAATAACATAAAAATAACATAAAAATAAACATAACACGAAACACCATGACTTATACAAAGCTTTCATGTTTTATATTTTTTTAACCGACTAAGGGTTAAGAGGTCTTACAGCATAAAGAAAATAAAACTGATTTTCACAAAACAGACTAATGCACTTACACACATAACATGATGTTTCATTTGTTATAATGTAAAAAAACACATTTTTTTAAAACCCGATCAGGCCAACAATGAGTATCCTATATTCATATTTTACTTTCGTATATATATTAATATATAAACATTTTTTTGCGGGGTTACCCTTTTTTTTTTAGTTCCGCCACTGCTCTAGACTCACTTAGAGAGTTTCATTTTTAGATAAACTGGCGATAGCCGCCCGGCTTAAACTACCATCAGCCAACACAAGTAGGTTTTCCAATTCACGACAGTCAGATATTCAAGATTTCTAACGTTTCGTTGACATCGAGTAGAATAGCTTCTAAAAATAGTTCAAACATCCGGGCTGTTATGTTAAACGTTTGCACACGTCACGTACGCCACATCATGTGGTGAGTAATCTCTTTTGATTGCGCAAAAATAAAAATCCCGAATATAATAGAAAAAAGTCGCAAGGCGAATCCGGGTTCAAGTCAGTAGACTAACGTTAGGGTAAGTAAAGGCGGCTGGGTATAGTGTTTACCACACTATACCTTCAAATGCCGATGTCACAGTAACAAGTGAACTCTACTTCACTTGCCCCAGAGAACGTCAGTTTTGAAATGGAACTTTAATTAGTTATAAAAAAATATATCAGCCTCGTTTTCAAAATAATAATCATTAAAAAAGTTTTAAAAAACCCACGTTTTCTGATTGAACTAAAAAGTAGAAAATAAATGTTATACATCACAATAATGCAAGCGATCACTCTACTATAAGCGATGAAAAACGTGGGGCGCCGAAGTAAAAGTTATATTACTATTGATTAGATAATACTATTGACTTTTATTAGGGAGCTTGTAGAGAGTCAACAATATTAGAAACTGTAAGAAAATCATGGCGCCCCACGTTTTTGATCGCTTATAGTAGAGTGATCGCTTGCATTATTGTGATGTATAACATTTATTTTCTACTTTTTAGTTCAATCAGAAAACGTGGGTTTTTAAAAACTTTTTTAATGATTATTATTTTCTACTTTTTAGTCTTTGTTTGTTTGCATTGAAATCTTGCTATCGATTTTATCTTTTCACTTTTTTTTGGGTAAACGAAGACAACTCGTAAAAAGACAACTCGTAAAAAAACGAGACACCCTTTCTTCTTCGGTCTCAATCGCAAGTGAATGATTGTCAGAGGTTAGTTGATAGCGGTTAGGACGAGGGCTGGTTACTGACTAGAACACATAGATTTGAACCCGTGTCGAGTGGGATAGCAATCGTGTGCCCAACCACTCGACCATATCGTCTCCCCCAAACTGGCCTACCTCCTGTAAGTTTAAACTCGGTTCAAGCTAAATTCTCTGCCCCTAAGCCTGTGGCGACATGTGATCGTTCGCTTCACTGCGCGCGAGGTACGCGTCGCTGGTTTTTTTTCTAATGGCTAGCAGAGGAGAATTATATATATAGATTATATAGCGGTCTAAAATGCTCAATAAAATGTTTCCATTGATCAATTTAGTAATAATAACAATTGAATATTCAATGGTCATCCAAAAGAAAGCTTCCCTGAAAATTTCAGCGCGCTAGCTAACTGGGAAGTGCCAGAAATTTCGATCGCAAGATTTGATTGGAAAGACAAACAAACACACAAACAGAGAAAGCAAGTTAAAGAAAACGTGGGAATGAATGAGTAGATTAATCATTATTTGCTTAATGGCAGTATAGTAATGTAAACTTTTGTGAAACTTTTTAGCTTAGTGCCAGTATAATAATTTAAAATTTTGAGAAACTTTTGAGCCCTACGGTCCATAGGAAAGATGAAATACAATTTTATAAACCACGGCGTATGAAGGGATAGTGTGGTCTGCACTATGCCTAATCCCCTTTAATTTACATAACGTGAGTCAAGTACCCATAAAACTGGGTAGACTTAGGGCACGAGCCCGAATACTTACATGTTTAAACTGATTTTGAAAAAAAGGCTGATATTTTTTTATCAATGATTACAGATCTATTTCAAACTTGACGGTCTACGGGGCAAGTGAAGTAGAGTTTACTTGTTTCTGTGATTTTTGCTGAACACTTCTGTTTGCTAAGAAATAGATTAAAGGTTCACTAATTTCTCTAACTTTAATATTACTGTAACAGACTGTATTTGGTGTATTGTATTTAGACTGAAACGTGTGTGATAGTTGAATACCTGCCCATTGGAAATGAATGCGCGAGCGATCAATCATTTTATTTTGCATGCTTTTTGGACATGACTCACTGACTGAAGAGAGTGAATGTAGTGCTATATAATCGGGGTAAATGAGATGTTCGATAGGTCGCATAGATGAACGCAAGGAGAAGGTATGTGTGTAGACCGTTAGAACTTAAAACATATTCTTGTGACTTCATCTTGTATATTCACGAACTCTATATAGGCTATATCATTCGGTGGATGTTTGATTACTCAATTTACTGTATTCTTTGTGGATTTTACTATTATAAATAAAGTTGTAAAATGTACCAATAGTTTATCGTCTATCTTTGATGACAGAAAAAATCACAATATCATCTAGTTGTCTTAAGAACAAAAGAGTGAAACAGTTACATTATGCTATGTTGACATATTAATAGCTATATTTATCATGGCTACAGGACATTGCCCCCCCCCCGGAATTTACCCCCCGCACATTCCCCCCCCCCCGTATTTACAATTACCCTCCTGTCAATTATCCCCCGATTAATTACCCCCCCCCCTGAAGTTAGAATCCTAACTCTAACTAGAATTCTATACCTATATACTACTTTAATCAAAACCTTAAGAAAAAGACCAATACTTAAGCATCGACCTTAGCCTAAAACTGCACTAACCCTAACCCTAACCCTAGCCCTAAACCTAGCCCTAACCCTAACTCTAATCCTGTCCGGGTGGAGTAGTGTCATACTGGGCGGGGGGTAATTGACACTGGATAAATTACTCGGGGGTAATGACGGGGGGGGGGATGCCCTGTTCCCGTTTATCATTTGTACAAATGGAAGTTTTCTTAAATAAAAATATTTTCATCTAGTCATTCAACAAACTAGTGAGAGTGAAGTGAGCTGCGTCACAAGTGTGTAATGAAATATGGTGTCAGGGCAAAAAGGCCTAGTAGTCTCAAGCGTGTAAAAAAATATCATGAATTGTAGTCATATAATAAAAAGCTTTCAAAAACATTTTCTATGAACTTCATTGACAAATATCGTATCATCTTTTCGAAGTAAATAACATTTGTTTAACTTATAATGCTGGTCTGGTCTTTCTTACGTGCTAAACGTACGTATCGTACTATATTTTTTTAAAATTTGTTTTTTATACTGAACACCAATCAGCCTGTCAAATATATTACCACATTCACAAACAATAAACATCTCTTTATTTCTTTCATGGTTTTCTTTGTTCAGCCATTAATATGCATTAACTTTAAACATTTAAAAGCTCTTGCTCCTCAGTTTCTAAAAATAGCAGGAACAATTGAGTCACTCAGCTCTATTTAGAAGCTTTTTTGGAATTGGTTTGTAGGCGTATAGAAGCGAGATTAAAACATTTTAATATGAGCTGATGTTACTGAGGAGAGGACTGAATGGTTTGGATGATTGACGTTCTGATCTCATGAAACTAGAAGAAGTCTATACACTCTATTGTATAAAAGGTAGGCTATACATGAACAGACAAAAAATAAAATACGAGTGAAACAATAATCTTCGGCAATATTTGATTGGTTTGAAAATCTACGATAAATTGAAACAGATGCCTCAGATGAAAACGTATCGACAATAAGAATGTTTGAAAGTTTGACATTTTGTAGACTATTTGACAACCAAGCCCGATGTGAATATGACGTCATTAAGTGGACTGTATTAAAATGTGCGCCGCTGGACACTGGGCAAAAGGGAAGTAAATTTATACTGGGTTTTCCTAGTTGCGTCACAAGATTAATCCGCACATCCTGTTTTTACGGTCAAAACGCCTTGTCTCCTTGCTTATTGACTCACTTAGCGAATTTTATTTTAGATGAACCGTTGGCAGCCGATTGGCTTAGACTACCATCAGCTAACACAAGTAGATTTCCCAATCCACGACAGTCAGATATTCAAGATTTCTAACGTTTTGTTAAATAAATCGGTAAGTTAGTTTCTTATATCTGGTACTTGTATTGTAAAATATATTACGATTGTGATAATTCAAAACTAAAACGTGCAAAATAAATTTTCTGATAGATATATTAATTTAAAAAAAAATCTATGTGGGTGTCCAGCATATTGGACAATGTGTTTTTATCGAAAAAACCTTTGGCCCATTTTAAACTAGTTTCTACACTAAATTGTCCTATGTAGAAAGTAAATCCTGCTTTCATCAGATACATCAGTTGTAACCATTTTCTTATTGAGATTTTAATAACTTGAGATATGGTTAGCTGTAATAAACTACAGCATCTGATCGTATGGGGAGAAAAATCTCTCAAATAACCTGCTTAAAAGAATATAATTATTTGTTAATCTGAATTTATTTTTATTTTCTCGTATACATCGTATACAGGAAGCATTGTAATTGTGCAAAAAAATCACATGAAATTACGACAGTTTTCACCGTTTTACACCTCAGTACTTCATCATACATGGAGTATAGGAGACTTTTTTTTAAAACGGGCTAAAATTCTAAATCCAGATTTATCAAAATACTAAATCCAGATTTATCAAAATTTGTCGTTGTACGCGTAGTCGTGTCGTACCAATTATATCTTAACCAAGTTGTGAATGTTTGCCTCTCAGTACTGTAAATTTAAGTCCACACCCCAACACATCTCTCCCCCAAAGTGTCCTCCCCCCTCCCCCCCCCCCCCCCCCCGGAGAAAAATGTGTGATAAAGCGGCGGAACTAGAAAAAAGGGCCACCTCGGAAAAAGAAATGTTAAGCCCCCCCCCCCCCTATATGTGTATATATATATCAGTGTTTCTTCGAGACATGTTTCTACGCGGGAACACTTGAAATTTTCAATGGGGGGGGGGGGGGCGGTCAACAATTTCCGGGAGGGGGGGAGAGGGACAGGGACACTGTCAAAAGTATATATTTGTTATATAAATTCCATTTCTTGCGGTGGCGGGGAGAGGGCGGTAGACTTGCTTCGTGGGGGGGGGGGGGGGCGAAGAGATGCCTGGAAGAAACTCTGGACTCGATCCTCCAGAACTATGAAACCAACTCGTATAACTTTACCAAGCTCTACAAACGATACTCGAAGTAAACAACTGGACCTAATACTTTTTCGCTTTAACAGTCAATATAATTCGATACCTTAATACCATAAGACTCAATACTCCCAAACTCCAGAACTACGATACTTCATCACCTGCACTCTCATTTCTCTATTACCAATCAGATTCCACTAAATCGTCAACTACAAAACAGCCGAATAAAAATTATGACACTTTAACACTTCGATACTTTATAGACTCTAGACTCTACCTACGAAACCATATCAGCAACAGCCTTCCACCGTTACTCCCAAATCTAAACGAATCATCAAAACTTACCAAATAAGTACAATACTTTGAACACCCCGTCATTACAAAACTCTTTACACCAGGACAGATTTCTAAATCAAAATTTGAGAAAACGAAACTTACAAGCCCTATTAAATTATATAACTGTTTGGATTGTTCGAAATTTAAATTACGAACTTATTTAATCGTTTTCTATATCACTTGAATGACACCACATTAAAAAGGCAATGTGACTGGTAAAAAGCGCCCCCGACCTTTCCAAATTAGGGAGGTGGGGTTGCATTTTCACCATCGTGAAGAAATATAGACCTTTATAGACCTAATTTTGGGGTGGGGTGCAAAATTGATAGTTCGTCCTGGGTGCCGAAATAGATCGTTACTCCTTTATAAAAGCTATCAATTATTAGGTATGTTTTGATAATAGCGATTAAATATGTTGCGCCATCCCCCCCCCCCCCCATGGATGGCGCCCTAGGCGACCGCCTAGTTCGCCTTATAGGCAGCACCGGCCACGAAAATGCCGTAATGCAAATAAAAAAGTGTGTGTAGGTCCTATTACTGTTCCGATAGAAATATAGGTCATAATTGTACACCGTCTTAGTGTAACTTTTATTTTTTAAACATTTTTAAATCTGCATAAATCTATTCCATATTGAAGATTTTATGTTTCACTTCATAAGAAAAAAACAAACTTGTTTTTGAAAATAAATATCGATATTAAGTTAATATTCAGCACTCCCCCCCCCCCCCCCCCATTACACACACACTCGTACTACCTACATATAAGTTTTAGTATAATGAAACTTTTTTTCCAAAAGTATAAAATTTAATCACTAATTAATTATGTCGTAATGTTGCCATCTTCAACGAGTGACCCTTTACCAGAGGCGTAGCGAACCTTCCCGGCACCCAGGGACAAACTTTTCAATTTGCACCCCCCCCCCCTTGAGATTTCGATTTGCACCCCCCCCCCCCCTCAAACTTTCAATTTGCGCCCCCCTCAACCTTTCAATTTATTCTTCCAACCCATTTCGGCGCCCCCTAAGCTCGGCGCCCGGGGACATATGTCCTCCCCCGCCCCCCCCCCCCCTCGCTACGCTACTGACCCTTACATAAACTCATTGATTCTATTGATCAGGCTTACTGCAGTAGGCTATGTAAAACATAATTTGATAGAAAGTCGCAGAAAATGGGACTATTTAGAAAATTTAGACCCAGTATTTATTTATGCCAATGTGGACAATTCAAAATAATCAAACATTCTACTAATATCAAGATGGCTTTACGTGTCATCAGGCTGAAATTTAAAGGAAATATGCTGCTTTTAAAATATGCAGATTTTTAAGATTCTTCACTTAAAAAAAATTACCATATAGCCTTATATCTGTTTCTAATTTAAAGCCTAAATGGCATATTCAATGCTAAATTATGATATCGATACTTTTAAAAGCAAAACTAGTTATGCAGCAGACGATCATTTAGCGTGGTTGCATTAGCAAACTGGTATTTGGAGTACGTTGTCCAAGCCCTAACAGTGTCTAACACGTAACCTATTAATTAATTACTATAATTAGGCCTAAACTAAATAGATTCTAATTAAATATATTCTAAATCTAGATCTAGATCTGGATCTAGTTATTGTAGTTATAGATCAAGATCTATAGATCAATAACTAGAGATCTAGATCTAGACTAGATCTAGACTCTAGACTAGATCTATGTAGATCTAGAGCTAGATCTAGATCTAGAATTCTAGATTTAGATCTAGATTCCTAGTAACTCAGTAACTGGTTAAGTAACTTGTAGATTTAGATCTAGATCTAGAATCTAGATCTAGAATTCAGGAAGTCTACACGAGTGTAGTCTAGACTCTTAGTCTTCGTCAAGTCTTAAATTCTAGATTCTAGACTAGTTTCCCTTAGTGACCTAGTCTGTCTAGTCTAGATCTATCTAGATTCTAGATCTAGATCTAGTTTATATTCAAATCCATAGCTAAACTAGTAAAGAGGTAACCCTCCTAGTCCTGGTCCTAAAATTCTAGACTGATGTAGAATCTAGCGATAGAATAATTTTAAAAGTAATTTTTTAACATTACCACTCTTTAGCGCTAGTTTAAACAAAACTTGTTTTTAGATCTAGATCTTCTCTAGAGTCCCTAACCCTAATCCCTATCCCTAACCTTAATCTTAATCCTAACCCTATCCCTAACCCTCTAATCCTAGCCATAGCCCACTGCGCATGCGGAGAGCTATCTTTTGCTGACTAGGTGGAGACGTTTGGGCGAAAAACCTTATTTCGAGTAGTCACTTCGTAAATATATAGAATCGTAATCTTTGCCTAGATCTTCATAAAATATAATTTTTACTTATTTTAACTTTTATCTAGATCTAGATATAGAACTAACACATTTTATATGCCATTTACCTGGTTGCTGGGGTCATTGAATAGCATCAGTTTTCTTAATAGGGCCTAGATCTAGATCTACTTTAATATCTTACAGGCCTATTATTTTTTTAAAATATAGTTCTAAGTCTGCATTTGAAGATTTATTTATTTAAATTGTAAGCAGGGTGGGCAAATACTATGTCAAATATTGATTTATAAAAATGTATTGTAAAAGTAAATAATGCTCTAAAGACTTAAGACCCAGCAATCTATTGAGCAGATTCAGTAAAGTTCATTTGTTTCTTGACCTTTGCACAGCCGCCTTTACTTTCTATAACATGAGTAATGTACCCATCAGAGCTGGGAGGACTCAGGGACGTTCCACGTCTATTGACTTCCTCTCATATTTGAATTCGTGACTTTTGGGTTGGCAGTATAGCACTTTGTGGTTAAATATCTTTCAGTCATTGATATTTAATGGAGGACCTACTTGTATAAGTAAAGGGTGTTAAATGTCTAAACACAATCTCAAGTTAATTGCATGACTTTATATTACATTAAAAATTTTAAGGATTTTTCTGTTTATCTAACCTTAATTGTATGTTTTCAGATGTGAAAGTTTTGATGGCTGCTGTGTGTTCGAATGCCATTCTGTCCTAGCAAGTAAAGAGGTTGTATTTAAGGACAACATTAAAGTGGTTGAGCCAAGTTAATATTGTAAGCTATATTTTATTATTTCAATTTTTAAAAAAATTATAAAAGTTAGATACATCAATTTATTTAAATTTAAACTCATTTTTGGTTAAACATTAAATTATAAACAAACTCAAGTACATAGCTTATGTGGTAATATAATTTGTATAACAAAAATTAGAAACATTTAACTTTATCACCATTCTTATCAATAAAGAGTAAAAAAAAGAATTATAATGTATTAAATATGTATTGTGTGATATATAATGTTATACTACATTGTATTATTTCAGAGCATGATTTCAAGGTCTGACAACTATCTGTTTATCCTAACAGCATTTACTTGAGAACAGAAAGTTGTGTGTAGTCAAGGTTCAAGCTGAATCATTTAAGAGTCTCCACGTTGTAAGTGTTCAAAAATTTAGAAACTTATTTTTTTTAATTATTTGTTAGACAAGAAGAAATACATATAGTTGTTTATTTTAATTTCTTCTATACAAACTGGTAAATATATGATTGATACTACAAAGCATACATTTATTACCAATTTTGATAATTTAACATTTTCAATTTTCTATAATATAATTTTTTTAGAATTAATACAAATCTTAAAATGTTTAAATAAGGTTTAAGATTATTACTGGTATATAATGTTACTTATTTTATTCTTCAGCAATATTGGCCATGGGCAATTCCTACAGAAAGCCAAAAAGGAAACAGGAGTCACACATTTCAGGTAAGAAAACAGTTGATTTAAATTAATTGAAAAATGGTAAGGTAATTTATTTTACAATTTTTTAAATCATCTGTTATTGCTTATCAAGTTGTACAGTTAAAAGATGTAATAATTATCATAGTTTTTTTTTAAACAGTAGCAGTAGACACAAAGGTATTTTTTCACATTGGCTGTTTAAAAAAAATATGTGCAACATATCAAAAAGGGCGATTGAATATTAAAGATGTAGCAGAATATGAAAATAAAGAAATATATCACTGTAGAATTTAAATTATTCATTATTAAATTAGCACTTTGTTACAATGTTTTTTCTGCAAGATGGAAATTAAACATCTACATTGTTTCAGTTGTGACAAGCTGTGAAATTAAAAATGAGCAATTAATGAATGAACAATCTGGTGTATTTTATATTTACTAAAACAATTAAAACAATTATAATGTAAACAGTTTAATATATGTGCTAGTTTAACATCTAAATGACTGTAGTAAACTTGTTCCATTATAATAGCGAGTTGCGCAGCTTGCGCCGTGACCTTTGTTGCCATGGTAATCATGGCTGTACCTTGAACCTAAATTCCATGTTTCCGGTTGACCATTGCTAATTAAGGCCGTGTCGCTTAAGGCGCTACCACAGCACACCTGATCTACGCATGTCGCCGTGCGCATCTTTGTTTTAACCTCAAGAGGATTTAGATTCCAAGCCTATTTTAATTTTTGGATCTCGTTTATTATCTTACAGAGGAGCAATGTGCTGAAATATAAGGTAAGTGTCTATAAATAATAAAGTACTTAATATTTAGAAAGAGATGCCTAAATGTTGATGAGAATAATAATTGGGTCTTGTAAAATTAACCTATATTTTAAAATTACGATTTCAATGGTCCGCAAGCCTAGGAAGACTGTCCGCGAGAGAGCCTTAATTTCGCGCCAAATTTTCTGTGATTCTTACATTATTAAAATATCGCATTACTTGATAACGGCTCTCCGATATCTATGATATATTACTATTACTAGGCCAAATATTAATAATTTAGATTAAGTAGCCTACATTTACTAAGTTATTACGGTTGATTACTTAGGACAATTAGGTCTAGACTCTATATTAATTTAATTTTTAGATTTTTACACAAGTAGACTTAAATTTTGATCTAGATTTCTAGATCTAGAACTAGATCTAGACTCAGTAAATAGGCCTAGATCTAGATGATATTAAGATAGCCTAATAGATTTTGGATTTAGAAAAACAAATCCAGATTACTAGATCTAGCTCTATTGATCTATAGTAACTAGATCTAGATCAGACTATATACTACTAGATAGATCTAGTAAAAAATAATCTACTGAATCTAGCTTTAGGCCTAGCTAGTTCTGGACTCTAGTTTAATTCTAGATCTAATTGAATCTAATAGGGCCAACACTGATCTAGATTCTAGTAAGAAATAGGTGCTAGTTCATTTAGATATAGATTCTAGATCTAGAATCTAGATAAGTTAAATTAATTAGGTATAGGGCCCTAGGCCTAAGTGTTCATCTAATTCTGCATTAAGTATTAAGTAGTCCTGTCCTAGGCCTATACCATTTCAGTAATTAGCCTATTTATTTTAATTCAGTACATTTAGATGAACACAATCATTTAATCATTATGTTTGATTAGGACTCTACATTAATTTTTTATTTATATTTTTACACGTTTTCAGTTACAGTAATGTTTTTATTATTTTTTATTTTTGCCGAAACTATTCTATTTCATACAAGTACTAGTCTAGATCTAGATCTTGTAAAAATAGTCACATAGTGAAACATTGTTAAATGGTTAAGAATAGATTTAGACTAGTTCAGGTATAATTCTCCATCAAGTAGGCCTATAAATATATTTAAATTAATATAGGCCTATGTATTGTATATATCTATAACTAGTCCTATACAATAATATAATTTTATAAAGCCCTATGCCCTTAGACCTCTTTATTAAGGACAATTTTAGTACTTGATAATTTTATTAAATTTAATATTAATTTAATTCTAGACTTGTGTGCCTACAACTTGGTGTAAAGGGGATCGCTAATGCAATCATAAACTTGGTGGCTGAGATAAAGCGGCTGAGGAGAACAGAGGCTTGTGAGTGGAATAGGTTGGTGGAACTTGTGTACAGCCCTTTCTATGTTCAACAAATGTCTCAGGTGGAAGTACATTTAGTAAGTATGGAGACTGAATTTATTTCAAATTTTTATATTTATTTTATATACTTTGCAATATGTTGTGCTAGGTATATATTTTGTGAAATGGTCTCCTAAATTCTAATTCCATTTGCCCTTCTCTTTTCAGGTACAGTTTCCATGAAGATCCAGCTTTATTCAAGTTCAAGGCTCATCTTAAAGAGAATGATGTGGCTGCTGGGACATAACTTAAGTCTACATTCAACTGCTTGCAGATCTCAAGAAGCCTGGGGTTCTCGTGCAGCACCGCAAGCACTCAGGCTGATTAAGAAGTTAATTTCTGGCCCTTTGATAAAGATCATTTACAAGAATGCAATGTGGCAATCAAATGTAGATCTACTCTGTTTCTTAAAGTCATGGAAGCGTTGTTGACAGTTGACTTCTACTGAGCCTTTCTTGGTGCGACAGCTGGAGAGGTATCTGACGGGAAATCTGATTGGTGTCCAGCTGACTCATAAGTGGGAGCAAGGTGATCAGGGTGTGTCGCAATACAGTGGAAGGACTATCAAAAGGGTGCCAGAAACAAAACAAAAGTCAGCTCTTTACACCATAAGCTACTGGGCAGAGGATGAGGATAATTCTGAGGATTTCAGTTATCTGGCAGAATCACTGGTTGTTGACTTTGTAGGAATCTTGTTTTTCTTTCTGAATAATAGCTTATCAGAATTTCAGAGTACTTCTTTCATTTTTAGTATACAAATGAACTTTATTTTTTAAACATTAGTGTTATAGTAAATTGTTACTGAAAAAATGATTGCTCTGAATTGTCAATTTATTTTGAAAACTAATACTAACAATGTTTATAATTAAGTTTAGTTTTCATAGTGTAAAAAAATTACGTTTTAATTAATTACTTAACTAATTTTTCAGGGTAATTGACATCAGCTAGATAATCCTAGAATCAGTAGTTAATGTGCTTCAAAAATGTTGGTCCAAACTAATTTATCACACAAGTACTAACGCTTTTTAAAATATATATTTTTTCCTCAGATGTGCTAATTGTATCTAAAGATTAATTATAATTGATACTTTAGAAAATTGTTTTAACACTAAAGAGACTAAAGTGGTCCAAGAAATTTTTCGTCACCTATTTTTTTTCCAGCATACATTCAATGAATGGTTAGATTTACTAGTAATTATACTTTAAACCAATATTTTAATGTTTATTCCTGGGTAATTAATACTATACTACTTTTCTTCTTAAGAGGGATCGTAATGAGACGAGGCTGATTTCTTGTACTGTAGATTTGTTTCTTCACACTAATTATGATTATGTAACTGTTTTACAGTACTGTGAAGGTCGTAGATTATACAAGGGCTAAATTTAGGTTGTCACTATGTAGTTTATTTCTTTGCTCTGATAAACATATTTTTAAATTATTGCAAAAAAATCTTTTTTTTTGCTTTGCCATTCTCCTAAATATTTCTATTTTATTAGACAAAATTAAAATTCATGTGGTAATCTGATTACTGTATTTTAATACTGTGTTTTTCACATTCTAATAATTTACATTGCATAGTTTAGTAGTAATAAACACTGGTACACACTTTGACAGCTGTTTTCTTTTATTTTGTTCTATAATTTTATTATGGCCTCCTGATATAGACACTGAATATCAAGTAAGTGGGGGGGGGGGGGGGAGAGAGAAGGGGGGCTGAGAAAGTAACGTAAAGGCAACTTCCATTTATTATGTAGTGTGTGTGTATGTAGGTCTACTCTACTTCATCTACCCAAGTAATATCGTTCATTACAATTAGATAATAAAGAACGTGTGCAGTAATATGTGCTTATGCATTTCTATTATATAATAATAGTAGTAACAGTATTAAATATTAATAAATCGATTTACAATAACTAGATCTAGTTTATTTTAAACCTAGATCTACATTTTTTTTTTTTTACACGGAGTAATAAGTCAATAATAATATATGAATGGCATTAAATTACTCATTCAAATCACATCCAGTCCAGTATACCTTAGACTTTAAGCTTGATTATAATTTTTTAGTTTTTAAAAAAATGCGAATCCCGGATGATGCAATAAAATTATAATTTTTTAATTTTTCGAAAAATGCGAATCCGTGATGATGCAATGAAAAAACCATCGGTGCCAACTTTTTTGTTTATGTAACATTGACTTGAATGACGAAGGTCTAAGCTGTTTTAGCCACGCCCACAAATTTTTAAAAGGCCATATCTTAGCTCCTAATTAAGCTAGAGACACAAAATTGGTATCAATGTGTAGGGAAAAAAATCCTGTTTTATTGTGATATAATTTTACTTGAAATTAGTGGAGTTTAAAAAATACGAGCAACAGCCTAATTATAATGCAGTTTATCATTAAATCTAAGATTTCTGTTGCTAGAGAATTAATTTGTTGTTTGTTCCTGTAGGAAATCATGAAGCTGAGATGTGCTATGGAGGAGAAGCTGATCTACACAAACATGTTACTGGCTGTAAGAAGAATCCAGGTCACAAAGATTTTATACCCCTTAAAGATTTCAACATAAATTATCTCCCCTCAAGTTACCATGACGACGACCTCATGTCTGAGACAATCCAAACAATGGCAGCCCTAACTGTCCAGGTAAAGACTGAATTCACCAGTCTAAAGAGGCCAGAGTTTTACCCAGACACTCAAGTTCCATATCCATGTTATAATGACAGAGGACATCACGTGATGAGGTTAGGGACGGGGAGGGTGAAGTATGTGAAGAAGTACACAGAGAGTCACAGCCCTTGGCTTTGCAGAACTTGTCGTTGTGCCAAGTGTCAAGTCTCTGCCACACCCAGCAAACTGTGTGGGGAGGTTCGTGTGTTGACAGCCACACACGTGGTGTTTGATGACAGTGAGGCGAGACAGACCAGGTGTGTTTTAGGTTTTGATGACAATAAAAGTCCAGTGGTCAGTCTTGATGGTTGGGAGGTGGATGGGGCATACATTAAGAGAGACACGTGTGAGTTGAGTTATGAGACATGTGACTTAGAGTTGCTTGATGAACTGGACAAGATGTGTCGACGCTTTGATGGTCTATGTAGGGAAGTAAGGAACAAATACAGGAGATTTGATGATGTGGACAAGTTGACCGTTATAGTGTCACATCCTCATGGCTGTCCTAAACAGGTCTCTGTAGGACAATGTACACACAAACGTGAGAGGTTTGGCAAGTACACCAGGTACTGGTACACAACGTGTACATGTCCAGGCTCCAGTGGAGCGCCTGTCTACACGCTGGGATATTGTGGGTGGTGGTATCTCCATCCCCACAGTGGATCAAACTCTGAAGGAAATTATAGTGGGGATTGTTGGGAGTTTGACTGATGTAACTGTTAGTTCTCTCCCCTTGTCTACACAATGTAAACAAACAAAATGGCGGAACCTTTCCCTTCATTAAACTGTTTGTGTTAAGACTTGCATGTATTAACAACATTTTATTACATTTAAATGTTTAAAACAAATGTTTTTATTGATGTAACCCTTTAACCGTTATAATTTGCATGTACATAGATAGGTTTTAGAGTTTTTTGTTTCAAATGTTTAACATAGTATGTGTACAACTTTAGTCGGCAAATTGATGTCATATACTATATACCTAAAGCTGGCTACTACCTGTAAATAAAATGTAACCTACCTATCAAATGTCATACTCATACTGTTTGTATTTGTTTACAAAATCTTCAACCTAAACGACATTAAATGTTAAAAGAAAATATCTTTTTACTTTTGTTATTTTAATCTTTGTTGTCTGTTGATGTTTAAGTTTTTGTCAAACAGCGCATGTTGAGATTTAGAAGTTTGCGCCAGGTTGTCATGGGTTGTAAGTTTAAACTTTACAACAACGTACATTTGTTTATGGCTAATGCACAAGTAAGACTAATTTGAATAAGAAAATGTGAAAAAAAGTTGAATTATTGGAACATCAGATGGTGTAGTTTAATATTTCGTCAATTCTAAATATTCTCCAATAGAAATGTAAAATTGAGATTTTGTTGACTAACATTTGTGTGAGCATTGTCATTTTAATTAATTATCGTTGAACAAACTGAGGGAGATTTGAAAAAAAAAACTTAAGTAAAAGTTTACAGATCTGCTTAACTAGTAGGCCTATTACTTTAAAACATAAAACAGTTAAAAAATTTCAAAGATGAGAACTGTATAACAGAAATTTGAAAACTCAACGGATACATGCGGCGACAAGGTCGAATGATGTAATACAAGCATTTTTTCCCCAATGGCACGAGTTTAAATCCCAGTTTAGAGTACGCACTTTGGTGTACAGATTCTGATCTCTAATGTGTACCAGGTCATGTGTACCAGGTCATGTGTACCAAGACATGTACCAGGACATTATTGGAGGAATAAAGTTCTGCTTGGTGTTCCGAGTGGACTCAATAACGTAATAAGTCATGAGTAAAACACCAATAAATAAAATTTAATTATGTTCAGTCAAACTGACCGTATAATATACAAGCTAGCTTTAATGTTGAATTCTAACTTTGACACAATTGTTACATCAAGCCTAAGAAAAATTAGGTTCGAATATGGAAACACTTTTCTGATTGCATGCTTATGAATGAAGGATTATATCGTTTCTTAAGTTCTTAAGTTGTTGTTTTTTTTAATTAAAGTAATCTAACATAATAAAACAACCCTTCGCTGTGATCTATGTAATCCACCTTATCATGGTGAAATGAACAAAGCAGGTCTTTAAAAGGTGAGTAAAACTATTTTACGGTCAAAGGGAAACAACAATTAAAATGATGGAATAACAAATATTTACACTGTTTTCTCCCGTTTTTTTTAAAATCACCACCATTCTTTGTGATATCACTAAATTCATGTAAATTAAGTAATTTCTCAAGACCATATAACATAAAATAAATGCTGTAGATTTAGAATTAAGTTTCCCTTAAAAAAACTGAGGGACGGAGTGGTCTAGCGGTAGAGAGCTGGACTGCTAACCAGTAAGACTCGAGTTCGAATCCGGGTTCAAGTCAAAAGACCGTCCCTGAGTCCACCCAACTCACGTTAAGGAAAGTAAAGGCGTCTGGGCATAGTGCTGACCACACTCTCTCTTCATATGCCGAGGTCACAGAAACAAGTGAACTCTACTTGCCCCATAGACCGTCAGGTTTGAAAGGGAAACTTTACTTACTTTTAAAAATCCTCAGGGTCTACGAGGCAAGTGAAGTAGAGTTCACATCTTTCAGTGACATCATTCTGTGACCTCTGCTTATGAAGGGTCAGCACTATGCCCAGCCGCCTCTACTTTTTCTTACATGAGTTTTTTACCGATCAGAGCTGGGTGGACTTATGACGGTTTACTTACTTGAACCAGGATTCGAACTCGAGACTTCCGTGTTAGCAGTCTAGCTCTCTACCGCTAAGCACGTTTGATATGTATTCCGGGCCGGAATAAACAACAGCTTCTCGATTTCCCAAGGCGTTGGGCTGATTTTTTTACCCACATCTCGATACATTTACCCATTACATTATTTAGTTTTAATGTAAAGGTCAGTCATTAGCACACACTAAATGATCCTTGTTAGACGATGAAATTAAAATGTGAAAATCGCTAATGTGAAGCGGCAGAGGTTAATTTTACTTTGTCTATTCCATGGCAGAAACACGTTTATTACTCAATGAAATTTTCTTTTCTATAACATTGTAGTTAGACTTTAACTAATGATATTGGGGAATGTATCATCAACCTCCACACGTGTAACTACCTTTACTTCCATACAGCTGATTGTAAACGGAACGGCATGGTAAGATGAAAGAGTACTCAACTTCTAACATGAAATAATTGAGTTTGCATCCTGAATTGAGAATGTAGGACGTTACTATTGGAAAACGAAGTTGAAGCTATGGGCATAGCACTGACCACAATATCCCCTTACATATACAAGCATAAGAAAGAATCAAGCAATTCTCTCACCCATGATGCCAGTACTTGATTCCTGCCAGGTTTAGACAAGCTCCATGGAACATCACCCAGTATCTAATGTTAAAGTGGCTTGGTGCCCAGTAGGTGCAGCAAGCACATCATTTCAGTGATATTTACGAACACAAACTTATTATATTTTCACTATAATTGTAGATATCATGCGTTGATAAACAATGTCAGCTCTTGTTGCAACTAACTATCGTGTTTTCTAGCCTCCCATTTATAGTTTAAGATAATTGAGGGAGACAACCGACGACTGATTTTTTTTTACTAAATTTTAATAGTTAACATATTATTTTCTCTAAGGACTCTTTGCCGTTCATCATGCACTAAATTTTATATGACTTTCTAGGAGATTAGTATTTTTACTATTAATTTTGATGGGTTCTTCAATCAGTTAGTGTGGTGATATTTTTTTTTAATTTAATTTTTTTAAAGAAATGTAAAGATAAACAATTTTTATATGAAAAATAACTCACTCAGAATTTCACATGAATCAACGGCGCTTATTTTAAATGAGTAATGTACAAACAATACAATGCATCCGATATTGTGTATTTATATTTTTACATTATATTTGCGCTGGATGTAAAATATTTAAAAGAAAATCTGATTGTTTTAATAATTAAAAACTTTTGAACCCTTATTTAAGGACAAACAATACGACGAGTCCCATAACGCCCCACCTTAATGTATGCACAGCTATGTGTTCTATATGTGTGTTCTATATGTGTATCTACTGTTCACAGTGTCCCATAACTCCCCACTGTAAATGTATGTACCATTGTATGTTACCAATTGTTCACTGTCTCATAACTCCCCGCTTTTTTGTATGTACAGTTGTACGTTCTATATGTGTATCTACTGTTCAACTAGTCCCACAACTCCCCACTTGAATGAATGTACAGTTGTGTTTTCTATTTGTGTATCAGCTATTCATAGAGTCCCATAACTCCCCACTTGAATGTATGTACAGTTGTGTATTATATATGTGTATCAGCTATTCACAGAGTCCCATAACTCCCCACTGTAGTTAACACTGGCACACGACCCACTGTGAGGGTGTGAGTACACCCCCATACACCCCAGCTTGTACACATATGCCCCACTACTACCCGGACAAGTGGACGCTGTGTACGTGTACCTAGACAACCCCCACCAGTCGTGTTTGTCCGTCCATTGTCCGACAGAAATCCGTTTAGGACAGCCATGAGGGTGTGACACTATCACCACCAACTTGTCCACATTCTTTAAACTACCATATTTAACGTTCGCATTGCAGCATAGAATAACAAACTGCCTGACTAATTTTTCAAGCCTGTTGATTAAGTTCAAGTCACATGACACACACGTGACCCTACTTAAGTCACCCTTAACATCCGCGAGAACAGTGACTCTTCCGTCTAGGTTGAATACTTGACTGTCTTTTTCATCGAAATCCCCAACACACCTCGTCATCCTCGCCTCGCTGTCATCAAACACAACATGTCTGGCTGTCAATACATCAACCTCCGCCCACACTTTACTGGGTGTATCCGAATCCTTACACAAACGACAAGTACATGTTTTATTATCGTTTTCCGTGAATTTTCGAACCCCATTGATTTTTCCGGTTCCTGTTCTCGTTAAGGACCTCCCTTTTGAGCCGAAACCCGGATATTTACAGCCAAAGTGGGCGAAAAAATCCGGTCGCTGTGTGCTGGTGCAGCTGACCTCGAGCTTGACGGTTAGGGCCGCTAAACACGTGACCAGATCCACCATGTCCTTGTGTTGGTAGTTGGGTGGCAGGTAGTCTACGGTGAAATCTTTCACAGGTATCAGGTCAAGATGACCTGGGTTTTTCTTGCAGTTGATAAAATTCTTCTCAAAATCTGTTTCTCCTTCTAGACAGATCTCCATTTCATGATTTCCTGTATGTGATTGAAATTATAAAAATAGACAAATTAAACTAACAAACCTAAGTTAATATAAAAAAAATGCATTCATGAACTTATCAGTTACATTTAATCTAACATAAAGCAAAACAGAAAATACAGACAATTGGTTAAACCACAACCAAATAGCTTTTAATATACGGTATATAAAATTAGATTTCAAAATATCAAGACAGTACATGTAAAATATTATACTTAATTCAAAATTTTGACGATGAATCTTTATTGCAGAGTTTTAAACTTCAGCTATTTAATATATATATATATATATATATATATATATATATATATATATATATATATATATATATATATATATATATATATATATATATATATATATATGTGTGTGTACATAATATAAGAGGGTAAATATTTACCGCTAAACAAGCTGTGCGGGTCCACTTTATCAGCATCTTGATCCATTGTGGATTATTAAGGGTTGGCAAGTCTGAAGTAATAATAATGGAGTAATGGGATGGGCTTGAGATCCTGTTTAAGATATACATACATACAAAGATATAATTTAAGTGCTACTTTTAAGGCTATGGTAAAAAATGGTTGAAGTTTCTTGCTTGTGCTTTTAATGAACAACTGTAGACACGTACACACACAGATATATACACGCTCACACACACATTAAATTATATGTATATATATATATATATATATATATATATATATATATATATATATATATATATATATATATATATAATTATATATATATATATATATGGTAAATATCTTGATATCTTGAATAGTCGCTTTTTAACAGGCGTACTAGAATCTCCAGTAGATCTATATCTTTCTTTCTGTTTACAAATAAACATGCACCTTTCCTAGACTTTGGACTGTATGCAGATTTAATAGCATATCACTATACACATATTAATGTGGGATGTGTTAAGCCTGGGCGTGCTAATAATAGAATCTTCTTATAAAAGGGGCGTTTGGTTTCTAGTATTTAACATAGTATACATATGTTTTGCTAATGTTAATGCTAACACTATCTCTAACACAAACCCTAACCAGAGTCCAACCATATCCCTAAATCTATTTTTTAATAGTAAAATTTACCTTGAGATAACAATACTACGAACAACCTAATATACCTTTTTTTCGGATAAGTCTATTGTCGGACATTGGTAATACCAATAATCCCTAAGTCAAACAATTAAATTATGACTATAAGCTAACTACGTTACTTACTATGGGCTGTCTGTTTCAACGTTCAGTGTCATGCTATTGATCGTTGTGTTTACAGGCTAGCAAACACTAACGTTCTATAAATAGCAACGCCAATCCTTGACCTGCGCAATACGTACTACAAACAACGGTAAACTGACCTAGATCTTCTTAAGTTAGGTTCTCTGACGTATCCTGTTAGTTTTATATTAAGGTGTGTTCAACCTAAGTAACACACATATTGTTGTGTTATCCAGATCTATCTATATATAATACTTACTTGTTTTATTATCTTATATATGAAAGGGCATATGGGGGTGGAAGCCTTTGTTTCCATTTACTTGGATGCGGTCGATGTAATTATACCGCATTAAAAAACTAGTTGTTTTTTGCAAAAGAGTGCTTCGAAACTCCTAATCAAGATGATATTTACATTAACCGATTTTAAAGGATATGTATACATTTACTCTTTTTATTTAAGCGACAATGTATATACCATAGTGCCATCAACAGGACTAACTCATAACTGAACTACAAAACGATGGACAGGGGAGCTCATCCATGCTAAACAGCAATGGTATTTATTTGCCTGATTCTTACTTTGATAGAATACTGGGATAAAAAGAAATCTTGATTTACAAGTAACATTAATTTTTATTTCAAAAGTATGTCTTAGTACTGTAGACAAATTATTAACATTACATATTGACTTTATAATTATGTTTCAAAACCCATAAATGTATTATGTAAAAATGTCATATAATTACTTTTACATATTTACACTAGGATTATGAAGCCTTGATTAAATGGTATACGTAAAATTCTACCAATCTAGCAGAGTTCCATTCCCCCCCCCCATATCCGCCCGTTGGCTATGGCTATGATCATAATGGAGAATCTATTTATAGATTTTGCGCTGAACTTGGTGATTTGGTTAATCAGCCCCGTCTAGTCCTCTGCCGGGTTCGAGAGGTGGTCAAATCAACTCCCCAACTGATCAAGCAATCAATTGCCAATACCGCCATGGGGTTGCGCCAACAAAACGCTCGAAGTGCCCTAGACCCTCGAGATGAGTCACCCAGTACTTGAATTGTGTGGCTTCCTACGTACGAGTGGCTTATCTATATTTTTCTATTTTTTAAGCTTGTCGACACCCACCAAGTAAAAATCTTTGGTGGGATATTCCGTTACAATACCATCAAAATAATTCGAGTACTCAAAGTCTCGCAAAGTTGAACTACTGAAACATTTTCTCATGTACGTTACACAATCAAATCGATTACAACAACTTCACGATTACTCACTCTCGTAAAATAAGCACTCGTCAACAGCACTACTTCGCCCGTTTCAACTACTGGATTACGCAAGGATATAAAAAAAACCTCTACCAAGCGATCAATTCATATGCTCGACCTCTCAAAAAATCTTCTCATCCACGTTACTCAATCGAACTCGATACCAACAACATCATGATTACTCAAATCTGGTAAAATAAACAATCTTCAACAGTCTTATTTTGCCACTTCCACTAATCAACTAAGCAAGAATACCATACGGAACCACCTAACTTACTCTCAAATGGTTACACGCCTTTGCATACTGGTTTAACTGTTTTTTTACCTTGATTATTAACTGTAAAACATATACTCTTAAAAAACAGTGACCGGCAAAACCGCTTTCCATCTTGTCTTAGATGTGGGGAGGCTTTTTTAGACTAAAATCGCTATTACACTAGATTGGTCAAGTATCCTACAATTATCCTACCCAGAGTATACATAGTGTGACATTAATGTCGCTCTAGACAATTACAGCCTGTTCAGTTTTAGGTGGTGAGGTGGAGGGGAGGGGATAACCAACTCATAGTGAACATAGCGTCAGTTTATAGATGACTGTTCTAAACATAAATATACAAGTATACATATAGGCCTATACTGATTTAGAAATAGATTTAAATACGTAACAGTAGTATTGTGACAGTAAATTTTTTTACCGAAGGGTCCATGGGGGAGGGGATGGGAAGAGGGTCTCCCCCTGCATTTGCCACAAACATGCTTGTTAATTTTAGAATTTTGTACAAATAAGGAAATGAATTAACCAGATAGTGTTAACAATGTCACAGAGAAAAATAAATAAACATCAGAATGTAAGTTTTTTAATTTTGATTAAAGTTTTAGAAATTAAGCCTTTGTTTCAATATCAATAACCTAATTACTAAACAATCAAATTGTAATTTTTCAAATTGGAAATCTTCAAAATGCTGCTCATTGTTTTCTGCAAACATTTGATGAAGTGCGTATACATTATTTTCTAGTACTTCTGGGATAACGCGTGTTTAAAGGTCTAAAGGATTAAGACAAAAGAAGGCAGTTTAAACTATATTTAATTCACTTCACTCCCTTTGTTGAATTGCTGTAAATCTAAACAAATACCGATTCCTTTCATAGAACAGCTGTAACAATATTTTTGTTATAGAATTTTAATTGTAATTTTAAATATGATGCTAAAATTTATTTTCAAAAGGTGTGTCCTTTGAACTATTTTTTTTTACAATTAAGACACATATCAAATATTAATTTTGAATGTTCTGCACTTCAGTTTAACAATTACTAAAAAATAATATAATACCTTGTTTAATTAATAATTTTTATTTATTGATCACTCTATTAATTATTACTTTTTATCGTATCTATTTATATAATACATTGTGTCTGTGTTAAAAATTGTGTATACAAAGTTTGCACTCATTTTGAAGTAATTTATTGATAAAAATCACCTGGTGTTGCCTTCAGAAAAACTTAATACCATTGGTTTTAGAAGGATATACTTTTATTAATTAAGTTACCGAATAATTAATGATAAATTGGCAAACAAGTGGACACATGACATGCAATTTGTTCATGTTTAACCTAATTGGGTGGAAACCATCTTTCCATTTATTACACGAACTATTTTAAAGTTATCTCTTGGGGAAGGGGACTTTATAATTTGCATGTTTTTTTCTTAAACCAGTGTTCGGACCCCAAAATCTCAAATGCACCCCCTCACGCGTAAATATCAAGTGCCCCTCCTACATAAGAAGATTGTCAGAAAGAAAAACTGCACTGTGGGATCCAACAGCCCAAGATTACACTAACATTGTCGTACCCGTTTGTTAAAGGGTATCTCTCGAGTGCCTAATATAATCTGCACGATATTTTATAAAAGGTACTATTACTGGGGTAAAAAAATCGAAGTGACTTATCGAAAAAATATGTTTTGGAAGAAAATAAGAAACTCAATAGTTCTGCGCAGTTACCTAAATAGCTGCGCTAGGGTTAGGACTAGGGTTATGGTTGTGGTTAGAGTTAGGGTTAAGAATAGGGTTAGGGTTCTGCGGTTTGTTTGTTATCACACGCATGCACAGTACCATAAAAAATATCACAACGAATGAAGGTGGTAGTTTCTTTCCATTGCGCATGCAATTCTTTTTTTCGGCTAGAATCGGCCAACACAATTAATTCGGCCAGAGAATGGTGTAGTCACAGAGCCCATGTTTACACTAACCTAATAATTCTGATATGTAAACAGTCACAGGTGACTTGGTGTATTATGAATGGATAATGAGTCATACTTTTCTAACACTAACAAACATTGTCGTTATGGTTTGTTTACTACAATTTCTTCAACATCCCATAGACATGTTGCTTTCAAATCAAACATAATACCTTTTAAAAATAAATAACAAAACTAGTTTGGAAAAATATTAACTAAAACGTTTGATTCCTTCAACAGATGGTATTGAATTTACAACCAGTCTCAAACACAATCTCCTCACAAATCGAAATCAATATAGATATATATTCATATTTTTTACCCGTCTGCTACTATCACCTACAGTTCCTATACGCTACTATCACCTACACTCCCTATACGCTACTATCACCTACACTCCCTATACGATACTATCACCTACACTCCCTATACGCTACTATCATATACACTAGATAGTACTTGTTACAATAAACCAACAGAAATAACCCACGTAAAGCTTACTAAAGTGTGTATATTAAACTATCATAAGTGAAGTTAAATATTAAGCGGATTTCATTGTTCTCAATGTGTGCGTTGTCAGAATTCTATTTCATGTGTAGTTTTCTTTTAGAAGATTAAAGTTTATATCAATATCTGATGGTGACTTGTAGGTAAAATCCTTCTCGTGTCTGTGTATCCATAGTCCTAAACAGGCATGATTAGTAAAATAATGCTGCATCGACACTTCAACGGTTAACTAGTCCACATCAACGTATCTTGTATTTGAATGTTACATTCTTTATGTGAATCATATAAGTGCTGACCCATCTTCTCCAGCTGATAAACTAACTTTTAAGTCTCGACTTAAACTAGTCTCCCAACTTTACTTTTTATTAATTATAAATACTACATAGGTCTTTGATATTACGATAATTTAAGCTGAATCAGAAATTCCGTTTGCATTTAAACCTGTATTAATTTTGTCTAATATTGTATAAGGGGTCATCCATAAATGACGTCACGCTTTTTTGGACGAGTTCTACCTCCCCCCTCCCCTCCGTCACACATTATATCGTCCTTATTAACACAATACGGCTAACCCGTTCAATAACCAACTTGATACTGCCGCTCTCCTACTGACTGACTGATCCCCTCTCATCTCAGCTGTCGCCCTCCTATATATCCCTTCGTATTCGTAATCGGATTCGTAATCGTAATCGTAATCGTAATCGATTCTAATCGTTGCATCAGAATGTTAATTACGCCGCTTCTGTCATACAGTCCGATTAATAAGCCATCTGCACTGTTACGTCAGCCTGTGAACTGCGCAGCGGCTTTGTGATCGTTATCAGCCTAACACCTGCACTATTGCGTTGTTATCTTCTCTGGTAACTACACCTAGTTACATATATATATATATATATATATATATATATATATATATATATATATATATTTATATACAGGTATTTATTTTGAGAGAGAGAGAGAGAGACTCAGTTTTACTTAGTAGCGAATCACAGCCTCTAGCAAATAGTTTATCTAGATCTAGACTAGATCTAGAA